GCGTGTGCAAGTGCAAGTACGACTACGACTACGACTACTGCTACGACTACGACTACGACTACGACGACGACTACTGCTGCTGCTGATGCTACTCCTACTCCCGCTTCCGGGGACTCCCACTGGCAGTGAAGGAGGATGACGAACCTGACGATACGGGTTTGTATATAAATAATGATATCATCAAGGAGATGGAGAATGGAAAGGTTCAGCATCAATGAATCATTTCATGAGGTCCGCGATTCTCGATCCGATGCCGGAATGAGCTATCATCTTCGGTGATCTGTCCGACGTGGCTGCTGGCTGGTTGTTGGCAGGGTTGTTGACAGACTTTGGCATCGGAGGGTTTTCAGTTTGCTTTAGCGGACTTAAGAATGGTTGGTAGCATGCCGTGACAATTGAGAAATCCCAAGTCCCGAACGTCAGCACATCTCGAGTGCCGAGAAACTATAGCGCTGTAGCGGTAGCTGTAGGCCAAGCGTTGGTAATAACCAAGACTAGATCCAGCTTCCATGATTTTGTGCTACCAAACACAATGCTATCTATGGTTCTCTAGACCTCAGAGAGGTCAGCCAAAGCAGCTGGTGCCACCACGACTACTCTCTCTCATGCTTTTCGTGTCACGTTTCTATCCTTGTGACCACCGTGCTTCTACTCTAACCCAACTGTCTGTGTTTCATCATCTTCTTCCGCAGCTGACAATCACGGCGATATTTGCCGTAATCACCGCTCGTAGTGCCCCGCCAGCATGAGCAGCGCAATATCCTCCCCACATTTCCTCCACGTGCTCGGGGCCTTTCGCGTCCCTCGGAAGCCAGGCCTGGCCCTGGCGCCTTCGGTGGGTTGTACACGCAGTTCGGCTACTGAGCTCAGGCGGGATCTGCACATGAGCAGCCACAGTCACTTCTACCAAGCCCGATCATGCCGCTACTACGAAAAACGGCCACGACGACTACTGCTATTCCTGCTCAGCGCGCAGTGATACCGTAGCTACTGGTTACCATCGTCCACCATCATCGCCATCACCATGATCGCCCCGACCGCCATGCACCACCGCCACCAGCCACCACCACCGCCGCCGCCACCACTGCCGCCACCAACACCAACACCACCCCCACCAGCAGCACCATTAGTACCATCGGCATCAGCAGCATGAGCACCGGAACAGCACCGGATCAGCACCATCAGCACCACCGTCACCACCATCACCACCATGCCCACCATCACCACCATCACCACCATCACCACCATCACCACCATCACCACCATCACCACCATCACCACCATCGCCACCATCGCCACCATCACCACCATCGCCACCGTCATGACCATTACTACCATCACCACCAGCATCTCCAGCATCACCAGCAACCAGCAACAGCAGCATCATCTTATCACAAACGTTAACACAATCGCTACCATCACTGCCGTCGCCGTGGCTCCACCGCCAGCACCACGAGCACCACGACCCACTTGATCACAGCACCAACTGTTGCAATCCATGGGCTATGTGGTTCGAGGTTGCCGCTCGAGGATTCAGAGCCCTGAAGCTGTCGGCTGACATCGTTTGCTTGCTTCCTCTTTTTCGCTCTGACTCGTCTGCTGCTTGAAAACGACACAAGGAAGCAAGATGAAGCATGTCCACAAAGGGTCAGAGCTGGACTGTAAGTGTGATGGAAGAGCTGCTGCTCTGTGAGCTAAGCTGCATGGGTGCATGTGCGGTTCATGTGTGTTCACGCAGCCTGCTGTAGCCCGCTTGCCCGAAGCATGCTCAACTGCCTCAGACTAGAAGGTGAAGTTGGAGCCTTTGCAGAGGCTGCACGGGTCATGTGGGGCTGGCGGGTTGCAGCCAAAGAGGTGGCTGCGGCAGAGGTCAAGACTTTGTAGGACACTAATTCGTCCTCTTGTGGACCCATTCTCGATCAGGTGAGCAATGGGATGCACAAGTGGACTCTGCATGCCCGTGCGCGCAAGCAGTCTTAGCCATGAGTTTGGAATTGCGATCGTGGCATCCGTTCGTCTGTTCCCGTGCCTCTGACTGCTTCCGCGCCGGTACATCCAGATGCAGGGCGGCTAAAGGCCATGTTGTATTTGGATTTTCCAGGAGCATGCCACCCTGAAACTGAGATCCTCTCCACCAGAAGGTATCAGCCGAGCCTAAAGTCACAACAGCTCTCGCACCAATCGGCGTGCTTCTGCTGTGCTGCATCTTGCAGTATGTCAAATGTCCATGAACCAAAAAATTACTGCCAGTATGTTCCTGCATCTGTGGGCCGTGCTCACATGCCGGAGCAGAAACTTATCTGGCAAAGGCTTTCATGCGCTGAAAGCACAGTGCATGGCCTTGGCATCCAGGCGCGAAAGAATGAAAAAAGATGCACCTCGCAGAAGATTCAAGGAGCCTTTGCCTTTCTTCTCTGTGAAGCTGTAGCTGCGTAGCTCGCCTTTCGTTCGCAGCTGTTTTGGCTTCCAGCACGATTTGCACTGCCGCCGGCCGTTGTAGGCTCAGATCTTTTGGGAATTCTGGAGCCTCCTTTGAAGCCTCTCCGCCTCCGCCTAGGTGGCCTTGGCAAGGATGGAGCAGGCCCCGGCGCATCCCGAGGAGGCCCGGCTCGACGAGCTTAAAGGGAGGGCTTCCCACTTTTCACAAGATTTCGTTCGTAGGCTGCAGAGTCTCCATCCCCTTGTCCACCGGCAGGATGACTTCTCTCAGTTCCTGTCGCAGGCCTGCAGGGGAGCAGACAACAGGGCGGGGGTTGGAAGCTTCAGGGTGCACTACATGCTTCAACAGGGAGGATCACTGCTGGTTGTGGATTCGGACTGCCCTCTGACCCAGTTGGAAGGCTTCTTTTGTGCGATGTCGTTGTAGCAGCACTGTCGCAGCAGACAAACGTTAGTCGTAGCCACAGCAGCCACAAGGAGTCGGATAACACATGCGAGCTTCGAAGGAGAACGCCGCGCCTGCTGCGCAGCCGGAGGCATCGAGAACATCCCAAACGAAAAGCGCCAACAGCCTGCGGGCTCCTCTTGTTGGAATAATGCACGGTGTATTGTGCGGTGTTCTTCCTGTTTTTCGAGGAGCTGCTCTCGTTATGAGGCTTCGTCTTCCACTTGAGATTGATCTCCGTTGTAGTGGATGAGCACTGGTACTGGTCAACAGAAGCCCTTGCTCGCCCTACACCGAAATCGACAAAGAGAAAACTCTGGTGTGGTTGCGGAGTCTGTTAGGGCGCTATACGCATGTATCGTGTGCTTGAAAGGCAACCATCACGTTTAACCACATTTTCCTTTGCCTTTGTGGCTGCATGTCACTGTACCCAGAAGCTGCCTACAGTACCTCGGGCTCATCAGCAATCCCTTTTATCTGTTGCTGCAAAACTTCGCAGTTGTGCAGTCATCCTCTGTGAGGATGATAATGCGGTGGCACTTATCTTACATCCCGACACTCTGAAACATGAAGTTTCGACCTTGCAGGTGACTGCCGAGGCTCTTCTTCGAGTCGTGGCCGAGTCCTCCCAACGCAGCTCTGAAGTTGTGAGTAACTGTGAGGGGTTTACCGATTTCGATGCTTTCTCTGTTTTCCGATACTTCGCGTAGTGATAGGCTTCTTCTCGCATGCTTCCGATGTCGGCGGTGTCTTGCCAAGGCGCTTAGAACAGCAGTGCTTACACTTACAATGGCCTCCTGAAGGTGGACAGGGGCACGGGCAGGGGCAGAAGCAGTAGCAGCAGGGTGGCAGCAGGAGGAGTAGTTGCAGTCGTAGTGGTAGTGGTAGTTGTCGTGGTCGCGGTCGGGGTCGTGGTCGTGGGTCGTGGTGGTTGTGGTGGTGGTACTGGTAGTAGCAGGCGGAGTAGGAGGAGGAGGAGCAGCAGCAGCAGTAGTAGTAGCAGGAGCAGGAGCGGCAGAAGCAGCAGCAGCCGCGGCAGCAGCAGCAGCAGCAGCAGCAGCAGCAGCAGCAGCAGCAGCAGCAGCAGCAATCTTCAGAGTAGTAAGACGAAAGATATTAAGAACCAGTTGCACTAGGAGGAGGAGGAAGAGCAGTAGCAGCAGGTGCAGCCACAGCCCGGCATACATATGCTGGCAGTTAACATTCCATGCAGGGCTAGCAGCGGCAGGCAAAAGCTCATCTGAGTCTGTAGCTCCTTTACTACGGCCCGCAACATCTTCCGTCTGTTACCATCACAAGCCTTTTTCCGTTTCCTCCACCTGAGTCTCCTATGTCAAGCATTTGCATGTGTCTTCTAGTTGTTCGGCAATGTAGTCATTATGGAATTATGAGTTCGTACCGTCATGATGCCGGCTGCAATATTCACCGTTGGTGTGGCTAGAGTGTTCGCTTCTCAAGCTATTGTTGGTGCCGGTTTTTTTCATTGTAGCTGTTACCTTGGTTGTAGCCGGAAGCCGGAAGCAACAATCCGTCCTTTCACTACAAGGTTGACAGTGCTAAAGACAAGAATGGCATGGAGAAGCCGTGCTGTTGTGTGCGTGTGATGCGCAAGTCCAAGGCCAGGAGCAGCTCCTGGGAAAGGTTTGCAGTTTGCTCGTGAGCCTAGATGAGAAGCTCGGGCGGATCGCCTCTTCCCAGGAGCAACATGTGACACACCGTGCTTATGCATGACTCAGGAGGGCATTTCGGTCGTACAGCTTCCAAAACACCATAGCTTCGGGTGTCTAACATCACCACAATCAGCATCAATCTGAAGAGTCTTGCCGAGTATGATCAGCATGAGGTTGGTTAACCCGATCTGCCTGGGGTGCTCCTTCATGATCTGTCCGAGAAACAGCTGGGTCGATGCAACCACTGTGCAAGCGCTTTTTGACTCCCTTGTCAAGGACAGTTTCGGGCCCGCAGTTGCTATCAGAACGGTAGGCTTCTCGGTTGTTGAGGCAACTCTGTGCCCAAAACTCATCCAGGAGAGGCTGGAAGACAGCTTGCACCGCGCTGCGGATGCACCTGCAGGGGCAGCATGGCTCCAATTAAATCACTGAGAGCGCAGTGCGTCACTCATGCAGACATGCATCTTCTGAAGCCGACGAGATTCGATTACGTTATCTTTGATGATGGTTATGACTAGCCACCAGTTTCCTCACAGTTTAGTTTGTTAGTTTACCCATGCACGCGCTAGGCAATGCTTCGGGCGGCACGCTGGGGGTTTGGGCAGGTTCGGGGGTCTTGAATTTACCTGGCAACTTTTCGTTCTGCGTTCAGCGACAGTTACCGCTTAAGTGCTCTGGGTCTGGATTTCGGTTCAGAGAAGAAAGGGGGCGGGTCGTACGGGCTCATCCAGTTGTGTTTCATGCTTTTGTTCGATCTCAAACCACTTTACTGCTATGGATTATGCAGCTGCGCTTACTGCGAGTACTGCTGCTGCTGCTGCTGCTGCTGCTGCTGCTGCTGCTGCTGCTCTTGCTACTGGTACTATCACCACTGGCACCATATACCATAGATTTTGCGTTGATTGTGACTGTTGTAATGGTTTTGGCATCTGCATGCATGCATGCATGGTTGTATTTTCCTGTACCAGTCATTGTGATTAGAATGCAGCCCGGTCATCAGAATTGCTTGCTTGTTTTGCTTGTGCAGTCCAGTACTGAAGGCCTGCAGGTTCGGTTAATATATCAAATATCGACACATCCACGGGATCGGCTTCATTTGCAAGTCCTTCGTCGATCTTTGCTCTTCCTCTTGAGGCGGCGCGTGCTCCTGTGTCCGGGCAAGTGCAGCAGCGTGCCAACCTCAGCTCTGCAGTCAAAAGGTCCCTAAGCACCGTGAGCCCTCTCTGATGGTCTCAGACCGCGAGGTGGAGCCTTGGTAGCGCCTCCGGGCAAGCCGGGCTATTCTGCCGCAGGCTCCGTACGTGGGCTCTTTCAGGAGATCCTGTCAGAACTGGAGTGCTCAAACGGTTCATTCAAGTTCATTCACCAGAATCGTGCCTACAGATCTTCAGCAGATGAGAGAGCATCGATGTTTTGCATCCCGACTGTCAGGTGCCCAGCAAGGTCCTTCCCCGGAGGCTCCGGGCGAGGTTTAGGGCGAAGCGACCCGGGAGGATGTCTCGTGTACTCGAGGAGCAGCGTCTGCAGCAAGAGCGCCTCGCAGCCGCCGGGGTCCCGTCCGTCTGTACTTCGGGAAAGCGAACGCGAAGTTTCTTTTGTGGTCCCATGGCAATGACTTCTCTGCTTCGTTTTAAGGAGCGCTTGAGGATGGAGGAGGAGAACCGCCGGCGTGCAGAGGCGTCTCGGTGACAGGGGGCCCGCCTGGGAACTCAGGGACTCCTCCCTGGAAGCCGAGGAGATGAACCGGCGAAGGGAGGAAGAAGAGCGCCGTAAGCGTGAGGCTTGGGACCCTGGGTGGTGGGGTTGTACAGCAAAGGCCCAGACAGCCGCCATGTTACGAATGGCAGAGCAGAGGATCCGCATGTCACGTTCCACAACTCCTCATGGGGACGTAATTCTTTCAGGCTCGCATTATCTTTCGTGGCTTTACTGGATATGCGATGCAGTTTTCGATTGTATCGGAGGCCTCATGCGTTCGGGCTTTTGGGGATCATGGATTGCAAAGTATTGGTTCGATGTATGGGTACCAATGGGGCTCAGGGCTGTGCGCCGGCGCCAAGCTGCTGAGCTTTCACTCGACTTCCTTTCCTTTCGAGCTGAGAAATGCGTCCTTTTTCAAAACCCGGCGGACTCCTCACGCTCTGCTTTCGTACGACTGAAGGTTTCGACTCGGAAGTCTGTGTCGTAGACATCGTCGTAGAGAGAAGGCCAGTTCTGAAGAGAGGCTGTGCAGCAGTCGGAGTAGCAGCCGGCCATATCGTCACAGTCGTAGCAGTCGTTGTTGGCAGGAGTGCTAGTGAAGGCGTCCTACGAGTGTCGTGGTAGAAGTCGGGAGTTCAGCTTTTTGAAGTCAGCAGCTCTGACATCTGAACAGCAGCAACATCCGAGCAGGAGGGGTAGTCGTCTCCTTGTGCGTCATCCTGCAGGAGGAGGAGCGGCGCAGACAGGAGGAGGAACGTCGTCGCGAGGAGGACTCCGGGCCCGTGGGACATCAGAGCTGTGCCGCTTTGCCAAAGCCTCCCAGCTCTGAACTTTCCGAGCTTCGCTTGAGACTTCTTTTGATGAGGAGCGGCTGCGGAAGGAGGAGCTCGGCAAGAAGACCAGTGGGCTCATGTCGCGATACTCAGTGCCCGATCGGGGACGGGATTGTGGTTTGCTCAGACACTGGCGAAAACCACTCTGGACACAACTAAACTCCTAGACCGCAACACAGCAAGCCCTCTAATGTGTGGGCTCCTTATTCTAGTTTGTGTTCAATGTGCCCCGAAACCCTTTTGTGATTACTAAGGCCGCTATATTGAACAGAAAATTGCTCCTTAAAGCCTTTAAGGAGACCGGGAGCGCAACCCTCAACCCAGATCCTGAACCCTGAGACCCCGAATTCAATGGTTTAGGGTTTAGGGTGCCGCTTGCAGCATGTCGATTACGGTGGAAGTTTCACTGCTCAGTGGCAAAACTGATACTGTGCAAGCAGGCTTTGATGAAACCTGCGAGACGTTGACACAGCACAGATCGCACTCGGAGTCGGCACAGCGCGGCTGCTGGACTCCTCTGGAGTCGTTCTGGACGGATACGCCGAGATCAGAAATTCCCGGATTCAGCATGGTGACTCACTGAGCCTGCATGTCAAAACAGTTCAAATTCTGTGCGCTGATGCTGCTTGTGCTGCCATTCTGGGCGATAGATCCGTTGTGACCTGGGGTCATTGTGGATGGGTGGCGACAGCAGTGCTGCGCAGGAACAGCTGAGGAATGTGTGCCTTTGCTGCCATTCTTGGCGATGGATCTGTCGTGGCCTGGGGCCGTACTGACTGTGGCGGTGGCAACTAAATCAGGATGAGCTGAGGAATGTGCAGCGTATCCAAGCCTCTGACGATGCTTTTGCTGCCATTCTTGGCGATGGATCCGTTGTGAGCTTGGGTGATGTTGATGATGGTGGCGAAATCGATGATGATGTGCAGGACGACCTGAAAAGCGTCCAGCACATCCAAGCAGCTGCACGGGCTTTTGCCGCGATTCTTGGTGATGCATCGGTGGTGTGCTGCTGGCGAGGGTGGCGACTGTACCGCTGCGCAGGATCAGCTCAAAGCTATGCAGTAATAGGTCTGCATCTGATTGAAGTTGAGCTTCTGCAGCATGTCCCTCCAAGTGCAGGAAGGCGGCCCGACGTTCCTCTGGAGCGTTTAAGGTTTAAGGTTAAAGCTGCAGTGTGCAGGGTTCGTTGTCGAAGCTCCTCAAAGCGGGCTAGGGAAGCGAACTCGATCGGGTATTCTTTCAAGTGGGTTTGTCACAGATAATTAATGCCTTAAGGCCTTAAGGTTTATTTTGTAAACTGCCGAGGTCGGGACTCCTCTCCAGCGACTCCGGTGGGGGTGGCGGGGGCTTGCCCGGAGCCCAGACAGACTCGAAGATTTTGAAGCGGAGAAGCTCTGCAATCTGTACAACACCCTAGATACCGCAGCCTCAGCAGTTGAGGGTGCGCAGTCAGTGCTCGAAGCAGGGCGGCTTGAGGATCGGAGTCCAGGTTTCGACTTCTTGAGGCTCCGATTTCCAGTTCCACGTCAGTCTCACGGACTAGACTTCCGTTTGTTGGTGTCAGGAATGGGGTCGTGTATGATGCAGGTTTGGCGACGAAGCGCCCAAGAGAAGCAGCAAAGGTGGCTTGGCCGAAGGAAGGAAATTCAATCCGCTTGACATGGGGCAGCTCGCCTTCACAAACCAACACACCGAGGTGGACTCTTCGACGACTAAGCATGCTGCCTGTCAGCATTTTCTTTGCTTTAGGCTTCACCATCCCAAGATCCGTCACCGTCGCTTGTCATACCCTGTTTGGTGTTTTGATGTGTTTTGCTGATGTCCGTTGATCAGAAGATGAGGGCCCACCGCATGTTGCAGACTTGATGAGAATGAAGTCTGGAATGTCATCTTGGCAGCGCTTCTGTCATGCTAAACTCACTCTAGGCATGCCGACGTGAATTAGCTTGTTTTCGGAACGTTGGAGGGCTGCGTCGCCAGGTGCCCGCAGCTTGCAAGCTTCGCTTCTTGAGAAGCCTTGCTGATGCCAACTACCCCTCGAGCCTGAGGGCCCAAATCCGACTTTCAGTAAGCTCAAAGCTTTGAGGTAGTGTTTTCGGGGTGGTGGAGGGTTTGGGTCTTCACGTCCCGGTGCCTGGTCGCAAGGGGCTGCCAGCACTCATTGCTGTGTGTGTCGTGCCCAGACCAGTTCAGCACGTCCTTAGCTTCGTGGCAGCTTTGATCGTGAGGGTTTCGGCTGCAGGGCCTCTCTTGAGGACCAGATGTCAGAAACGCGCTGCGAAAAGACGGGGCACCGTCGTTTCGAGGCCAATTAGCGCACAGCTCGCATCTCAAATCAGCAAGAACGGCTCTCTCTGTCTCGTTTTGCTCAAGCACTGTGAAGTGATCATGGTCAGGCACCCCCAACCCTCCCCTGCACCGAACAGAACGCCTTAACCCCTCCCTTCTCGCTGCCGGCCCGTTCTTCAGCACCATGGCACGGCCCAAGAAGCGCAAGGTCTCGCACCCGTTGGGACAGCAGAGTTCTCTGGGGAAGGGCGGGAACTTAGGGAGAGTCATGGAAGTAGCCGGCACTTTGCAGATTTGCGACTCACCCGTTGACTCCAGCCGCACCCCGCTGCATTTCTGCTCAGAGCGTCCTGTGATAAGTGCAGGCCGCAGACCTTCCGAAGTGGTGAGGGAAGGGCCCAATAACAGAAGCTAAGTAGAAGCTTTTTTCAACTGGGAGCCCTTCAAGAATACCGCAAGAAAGCTAGAGATCCAGCTTGAAGTCGGCACACGTTCCGGTCGTAATCTGCCCTGAAGGGCGTCGAGCCCTACCGGAGGCCCTACCGAACCCCAAGCACCAACAGCCCAGCTGTCCGCAGTTTTGCCGAAGTGAGCAATTCCAGAGAGTGCTTTGCTCCTGTGTGAAATGGCTGGCTCCTCCGAAAGGCACCCAAGGACTGCCGACGCTGTGTACGGGCCCATCCGAGAGCAGTTGCTGACAACAGAGACACTTCCCAAACATCATGAGTGCATCCCCAACATCCGTGCCAAGATCTGACATAGACATACGGTGCAACACCTTCGGCCCTCCAAATAATGATTGCCCTCAAGCGTTCCCCAATGGGGTCTTGGGGTCCTCGCCGTTCTGGACGCGCTGGAGACCAGTCCTGCACGCTTTAACCCGGGACCATGGCACTTCGGCGAAGCCTCGCCGAGCGCTACATGCCTCTACATGGAAGATCAGAGCAAGAAGCTGTTTAGCCATAGCACGATGTATGCTCCTTATCTTCTTGTTGGTTGTCTGGTCTCAGAATCCTTTTATCTGCAGTATCAGCATGTGCACAGTTCTCGAACAAGTCCGAGTCCCGCATCTGATTTCAATGTGTATGGTATGCAGGTTCAAGTGGTCAGACTTCCATCCTTTTTTGCTGTGCAGCGTACACTAACAAATTTATGTTCCAGGCGGCGCGTGTTGTTGTGTTGCGTGATGTGGTTGCCATGCTCGTAAGTCTTATTCGTCCAGTAGTTTCGAAGCTTGCAGCTTTTACTATTGTAGCCTTTTTCGTCATCTTAGCACTGCTGTCGCAACTGCGCAGTCTGAATCGCCCAGCCCTGCAACAGGAGCCACCCAGGACGAGACAGATGTCGGCAGGCTGGCATGCGGACTTCTTCACCGATTTGGGAGTGAGGATTCAGGGAGCAGGTCCGGGTGAGTTTCTGTGCGTGCGATCTTAACGGAACGCAAGCTGGTACAGGTACAGTGAAGCCCGTAACCACTACCCCACTGCCGCTACCACAGCCACAACCTCAACCACAAGACACAAGCAGCTAACCGATATTTTCGAACCCATTCGGCATGCGGAAGAAGCAGCAGTAGTAGCAGCAGCAGTTGCAGTAGAAGTAATAGCAGCAGCAGTAGCCGCACCAGCAGCAACAAGTACTAGTGCTAGTACAAGTAGTAGTGGCAGTAGTTGAAATAGTAGTAGTAGTAGTGGTAGT